CCCCAAAACCCCAAAACCCCGTTAGGATAAATTTAGAAATTGTAGGAGGCTTATAAAAGTATAAAAATAATAATCAAATTAAAATGTTCCTAAATCTAAAATAAGCAAATGAGTTAAATCCTCTCACTAAGCTTCATCAGAAATAAGTTTAAAATTACTCAATAACTGATTTCAAGCCCCCGACATCTATAAATGATCCTGCAAAAAAATCCAAAATGATCCAACTCTCAGTAAGTTTAATTACAACTTTATAAGTGCCATTAACAAATTACTGATGACACAATCATAAGTTGGAAAAATACTTTACTATTTTTTTAGTTTTCTAAGAATTTCAAAAAATCAGATAGACTTAATCTACTTAGTTGAAATGAAGGATAAAGGCTTAGAGAAAGATTTAATAGCCTTTTAAATGCTCCTTATGAATTGTCAATAAATGATTATTCATCAGCAAATATAATTGACAGTAGGACGACCAGAATTAATTAAAGCAGTATTATGTCAGTGAATAGCAGACAAAACTAACTTCATGCAAGTTAAGGATAGAAATTTGTCAATAACGAAGGATCCTTAGTCAATCTAGCAGGAAACGAGGAGTATCAAAACATGAAAATAAAACCAATTTTAGAACAGAAAATTCTGAATTTATCTTAAAATAGAAGAGGTGATTCTACATAATGATCAGACGAGATAAGAGGAATGTTTAACAGTAATATCGATTCAAATTTGAGATCAAAATCAGTTATGAAAGATTCACAAAAACTTTCCCCCATTTCTCGAAATAACAAATCTTTTGATGTCTAAAATTGAAGTCAAAAGCGCGTAACTGATCTATTCAAAGCATAAAACCCTTATGAGACATAGTCAAAGCCCTAACTAAGATCGCTCTCAGTAATTAAAAGTTAGTTTTAAAATGTAGCTTCTCATAAGAAACTGGCCAGTATGCACATGAGTCAATTCAGCCAATCTAGAAATGAAAGTAAAGAAAAGCTTGAGCCTGTTGTTGTGAAGACTCTTCAGGAAATCAAAAATGAAAAGAAAGAAAATAATTGGAAGTCAGAAAGAAAAGAAGTTTTTCCAATCTAGAAATTAGAAATACTTCAAAATTTTAATGTTTGCGATCAAGATACTTTCAGATCATAACTTGACGGATTGATTGATTAGAAAACTGATAGATACTATGGGCATGAAAATTCAACTTTCAAATACATTGAAAACACTATGAATTTCAGACATAAATTAGATAAAATAGACGAACTAATTTAAAACCAACTTTTCAAGGGTACTTATGAATCCATTTAGCCCTAATATATTTACAAGAAGGACGATATTTTTGACAGTAATTCTAAAAGGAAAAAGCTTTTCAATGTTCAAGATAATATGAGTTTTAATCTCAAACACACAGATATTTTAACAGATCATCGAGGTTATATAATCACTAAAACTGGAAGTAAATTTTTCAGTATCAAGGAACTTTTGGATAGAGATAAGCTTAGACAAACTCCAAGGCCAGATTCTAATATGGAAAAAGATGAGTCACAGATATAGTAGTTAAACTAAACTGATAAATCTATCAAAAGAATTAGCTTATTGAAGAATGAAGTACTAGATACTCAAGTTGGCAATATCTAGCAGTAATAATTAACATAGATAAGAGAAAGGGTAAGCATGAAGCATAAAAGAAAAGTGTCAAGTGAAATGTCAGATAAGATTTCGCAACCTAATTTTTCGAATTCTTTTAAAGTTAAGGATCACAGTAAAAGAATAAGATTTTAGAGTTTTTCAAAGAAACATAAGCACGATGCTAGGAATTCCTCAGTTTCTAAATTAATGTTAAAGAAGGAGGATTCAATGTAGTAATAATAGGTTGGAAATAGATCATTCATTTCTCAGGCGCAGTAAAATCAGAAATTCAAGCTAGATCTTATGTCTGATGTTTCCTAATGGTTTAAAAATAAAATAACTAAAGAACAAAAAAAGGCTGGATTTCTAGAAAAGTTCTCTGAATTCAAGAGTAAAATAGAAAAATAACTAGATGAAGATGATGATAATTCTGAAAATAATTCTGAGAAGAGTTATCAAATGGATGATGAATTAATTCAATAAAATATGAAGTCTACTGCCTACTTCGATAAAAATTAAAAACTCACATTCGAAAAATAGAATGCAAAAGAAACAAAGAAAATAATGAAACTACTTTTAGGTGATGAAATTAGCATAAAATAGGCAATGAGGGAGAATGATACCATTTCAAAAGGTATTGGGTAAATTCAAGACAAGCTAAACTATTTGCAAGAAATACAATAAGCAAATGATGCTCTAAAGAGTATTAAGACTTTAATGGAAGGTAAAAATATAAAAAGATTGTAAAATTTGAACATCGATCCATTCTAATTAGACGAAGCATCGTAGTAAATGTATTAGGAAATCCAAAAAATGCAAGAGCAAATGATAGAAAATATTTAAAATGAGGAGGATTAAGATATTCCAAGTGGCTCAGGCGGTATATAAGATGCAGTTAGATATTTTGTAAGAAAATGTGCTGAAGAAAATGTGATACCAATTAATATATATAAAAAGTTAGATGAAAATAAAATTGTTTTTGGAAATCTAAGCATGTAAAGAGGCCTTTGCAAAGCAATAGCGAAGTCAATTAGCGTAAGATATATCATTTATTCTTAATTCTTTAGAAATTCATTCCAGATTTCCAAGATACGATCATATTCAATAATAATAATCTTGATGATGATAATTTTGCAATTATTCTAGAAGCCTTCGTTTCAATAAAAGGATTGAAAGCTCTCTATACTATTCAAAATTCGTTTGGTTTTAAATCAATGGAGTTCTTGAATTAAATCCTTAGAAAACCATATCCAAAGTAAATATTAATACATTTATTTTTTAGTGATCTATAAGAATTATGCCTTAATGGTTGCAAATTATCATCAGCTGTAATTGGGGATTTATTGGGAAATTTAAAATAATCTTGCTAGTTAAAAGTACTAGGACTCTCTTAATAGCAGTTTGATCTTCATGCATCTCTAAATTTAGTCTAGCTTATAAAGAACACATAGTGTCTCAAAAATCTGGATTTAAGTTTTTCAAGATTTTTTAAAGCCAAAGCAATTATAGAACTTTTAAAATCATGTGCCTCTAAACATTCTCTAGAGTACTTCAATCTTTCATTCAATCCAGTCAAAGAGTCTTTGAAAACAGATTTCGCTAATGCTATTAAATCTTTTATACTTTAAAGTTTGTCATTGACTCATTTCAATCTAAGTGCTTGTGGTCTACAAGGATAGAATGCTCTTATTGTATTTAGCAGCTTAAGAAAAGCAAAAACATTGCAAAGTCTGCATTTTAGTGGAAATGAATTAGATGTTAAAACAGCAAATTAAATAAGAGAAATGCTTAAATCACGTTATCTTAAACTAAATGAAGGAAATGAAGGATTATATACTAATGCTGAAAAAGACTATAACTAACTTCCAAACATTAATAATTAAGATTCCAATGCTAAATATTAGCTCAGCAAGGAGGAAAGATAGAAAAAATATGATTAGCAAAACAAGCCTTCAACTGACGTTCATTATGAAGAGAAAAACATCCCTAATAAAGATCAATATATATTTTCAAGAATTCTTGGTCATTTAGAGATATAAAATGCTCATAAATGGGTTGAGAGAGATGAGTGCTGGATTTGCAATAAGTGGTAGTATGTATTAATTATATGGTCAGAAGGAGTGAGTGATCTCTTATATGAGCATAAGCCAGCAAAATATTTATAATAGCATGAGAATTTGATTAAGAAAAGCAATCCTCTAGTAGAAAATATCTATGAAAATACCAAATTGAATCCAATTTTATTTGGTCATGCAACTAACTTTTATCATAAAAAGTTTCTCTCAATTGATGATTTTCGGGAGAGATTGGAGATAAATCTAAAACCATACTAGAGAATTGTTGCGAAGGAGGAGGAAAAATCAAGAATCGATAAGCTTACATAAGAACGGTTTCACAAAGCAAAGGTAATGCTTTCAATGATGAGAAACCTCTCAACTAAAATGCCTTTAAAATCAGCTAATTAGAAAAAGGAGTCCAATAATAAGCTTTAAAATTTGTAGATGAATTAATAAGATCTCAAGAGCATTTTTTTGATAAATAAATAATGGCCAAAGACTTTTAAGCAGGCATATGATGATCTTGATCATTAGTAATTAATATTGATTGATGATGTAATAAAGTCAAAGCTAAAACCAGATGAGCTTTACTTCGCTTATGCTTAATATTATCCTCCTTGCTAAGCCTAATTTATTACTCAATCATATCACAAAAGACAATATATATTTGTAAAGAATTTTGAAATCAAACATAGACTTACCGATATCAAGTTATCTTATAAAAAGATTAAAAAATACAGAATTAACAGGAATTTCTCTTTAAAACAAAGTGTTTTTTCGTAATGGGCAGTTGATATTCAATAAGAGTACAGAAAAGCATTTGAGGCTGATATGAAATATTCTAAAATTAAGAAATTTATAAAAGATCCTACAGAATTTAGAGATGTATGCCAGACACTTCTAAACAATTATGCAGGAATATTTGAAGTCTATGTTTATTGCAGTGGAAGAAGCAATTATCCTAGTGTCTAATGGATTGATTTTACTGATTTTTGCGCTAGTGTAAGATTCTATTAAATGTAATATATTTGGAATTAGTGGAAGATTATTGATAGAAACCTGACTCTTGCCAAGATTGATATGCTCTTTGTTGCAGTTAACTATGAAGGAGTGCCAGGAGGGTTAGATGATAATCCAGATAAAGAGTTGTGCCGATATGAATTTTTTGAGATTTTAGTCAGAATGGCTTTAGCAAAGTTCCCCAACTATTCACCTAATTAAGCATTGAGTAATTATTTTAAGCTTTATTGATCTAGAGGTTTTTTTGGAAGAGTACATTTTATGTGATCCTAATGTTTTATCCTGGTTCAAGTTTAGACAAGAACTTATTTGGACTTTAGAGGTAGATGATCTGTTTAAGGCAAACATGAATAGCATTAAGAAGCTTTTCCAATCAGTACTTACAGGCCTGAAAAGAGTATTTACTTTAGAAGATGCAATTGAGATGGTGCTGAAAGCCAGTGGATTGTAAATGAATATAAAAGATGCAAGAGTTGCTCATGCTTATTCTAAATTTTTAGTTGTTGATGAAATGGAAAATATTGACAGTCTATAACTTCTAAATTTTGGAGAATTTTAGGAGTTTATTGCGAGACTTGGTCAAATCAAATATGGAGATCCTACCATGACATTATATGATAAGATATTTAAAGTATTAACAGAACTTTTAAGACTTATTGGAACATCTCCATAACATCCTAAAAATGATGATTTAGGGTAAAGTGAAAGTGACTATGATGAGGATCCTGAGAACTTAGAATGATATTCAAGAACTCTAAAATAATATAAATAAAATTATCTTAATTTCATCAATTTTTCATCGAAGCAGAACCATCTTATGGGGTTTTGGGGTTTTGGGGTTTTGGGGTTTTGGG